GGCAGTCTGGCTTTGGGTCCATGGTGGTTGGTGGTGGCTTGCAGGTAGTAAGCAAACAGCAAGGGACGAATGGGTGCAGGATAGAAGGAGTAGTCAGTGCACGAATCGTGACTCTCTGCTCCAGCCAGAACATCAAAGGCAGTGTCTGTGCATCAGGTGGTGGGCCTTCCTTTTCTTTTTCCTTTTTTTTTGAGACAGAGTCTTGCTCTGTTGCCCAGGCTGGAGTGCAGTGGCACAATCTCGGGCTCACTACAACTCCTCCTCCTCCCAGGTTCAAGTGATTCTCCTGCCTCAGCCTCCCAGGTTGCTGGGATTACAGGTGTGTGCCACCATGCCCAGCTACTATTTGTATTTTTAGTGGAAACAGGTTTTACGGTGTTAGCCAGGCTGGTCTCGAACACCTGACTTCAGGCAATCTGCCGGCCTCAGCCTTCCAAAGTGTTGGGATTACAGGTGTGAACCACTCTGCCCCTCGAGGCTTTCTTTAAAATAAGGTTAATGGTAACAGCCACTGAAGGGGTGGAGGCAGCAGCACAAAGGGGAAAGTTGTCTGGGAGCTTTCCTGCTGATTATTCCTGGCAAGCTGAAGAGCACATCAGGTGGGAATCTCCCTTGTGCTGTCACAGTGTCTGTCCTTCTGTTGGCCCCTCTGTCCTCGCATCCTTCAGACCAGATGCCATGTTTGGGAGGGTGAGCCGCCATGGCTTCAGCCCTCCAGGAGATGAGGTAAGGTGTCAAGATTAGGATCTGAGCTGTCTGGAGATGGGCAGAGTGCTGATTTCATAGAAGGAAGCTGGATGGAATGTGTGTCTTGGGGGACTTCGCTTCTCGAGAAGACTTGAGACAGATTTATGTGCAGGAGTTTCAGTAGGGCGTGCGCTCCTGGGAGCAACTCCTGGGGAAGGAGGGAAGTGATGCTGCAATAAATACAGCCACCAGGGAGGCCTCTGCAGCGCCAGGGGGAGCTCTGAGCTGGGAGGACCCTTCCAGAATTGTTGAATTTGAGACAAGGGGATTGGTGGGCCTTTGACCCCCCCTCACCCCAGTCATTACACATGCACCCTGCACCCCTACCCTAGGCATTACCTTGGGCAAGGCAGCTCTCTTTGGCTAAGGGCAGTGCCCTGAGAGGGACTCAGCTATGAGCCTCTGTAGCTGGAGAGATTTGGGTGGTGCACCACGGCACCCACTCTAGAGAGTCTGGGAAAGAACGCTTTGCAGGGAAGAACACTTTGCAGGGAAGAAGAGCAATCTCGGTGGGCTGCAAGGCAGAAGAGACATTTCGTTGAGACTTGATGAATGAACAAGGTTGTGATATCCAGGGATGGGGGAGCAGGAGGCCGTGAGTGTGGGTGAACAATATGGGAGAGGCATATTCAGAGATCAGCGAGGCACATTTGCTGGGCCTAAAGTGAAGCCGGTGGGATGTCAGTCTGGATGCAGTCAGGGATTGATCTGTGTGCCATGTTGGAAAGGAGCCATACAGGGATTTTGCTGTTGAGTGACTTCTGGCGAAAGCGGGGCTCCAGGGTGAGTGGTCCACTAGCTGTGAGTGGATGGATTTCAAGAGGCAGGGAGACTCACTCCGGAGTGACATGGAGACGGGGAGAGGAATGGGATGGAAGGGCATCTCCAGGCCCTGGGAACCAATTAGACGTGAGGGATGGAACATAGGGTGGAGCTGGCGATGGCCAGTGAGCCCTGTCCCTGGGTGTCCAGGGGCCAGGGAACTCAGGAGGAGAGGGTGGAGAGGGGAACCTGGTCTTGAGTCTGTGGGTGTGAAGACAACAGTGTGGCCTCCAGGCAGGGATGATTGAACAGGCAGGAGAGAAGAGAAGCCTCCCTAGAAAGGCAGCCTGAGGCTGGATGATGCACCTGCCTCCTGGGGTTGCCTACCTCACTGCTTTTGCTCATCTAAGCTCCACTGGGCTTCTCTCTCTGTTTTATTTAATGCTGATAAAGCACTTACCTTGTGCCCGATGTTGTCCTAAGTGCCTTGCATAGGTAAAGCCACTTAATACTCTTTCTCATCCTACTTTGGTACCATTTTCATGCCCATTTTATAGCTGAGAAAAACAAAATACAGAGTTCAGGTGATTCCAGAGGTCACTCAGCTTATGAATGGCCAGGATGTGGGCCCTAAGCAGGGCAGGGGTCTTTGAAGTAAGTTCTCCAAGGCTTGCTCTTGCCAGCCAGTGCATCCGCTGGGGAAGCTCCTAACCCCTCTGGCAGCCTCTCTCCTTGTCACTCCTCATAAAAGACCCAACTACTGGCTGGGGGCAGTGGCCCACACCTGTAATCCCAGCACATTGGGAGGCTGAGGCGGGCAGATCACAAGGTGAGGAGTTCAAGAACAGCCTCCCAACATAGTGAAATACCATCCCTACTAAAAATACAAAAAAATTAGATGGGCATGGTGGCGGACGCCTGTAGTCCCAGCTACTCAGAGGCTGAGGCAGGAGAATCGCTTGTACCCGGGAGGCAGAGGTTTCAGTGAGCGGAGATTGTGCCAGTGCACTCCAGCCTGGGTGACAGAGAGAAACTCCATCTCAAAAAAATAGAATAAAAAATAAAAGACCCTACTACTCTCTTGTTTATGTTCATACCCTCTCTGCTATCCAGGTCACCGTCAATTGTGCTTCCTCTTCCTTAAGACATGAAGGTAGCATGTCGCCCCTGTTCTGCCCTGCTCCTGGAGCCCTAGGTTCACCCTTCCTGAAACCCAAACAATGAGCCTTCAGACCACCAATCACAGCGAGAGAGCGGGAGTACTGGGGCCTAAGAGACCAAGTAGCTGAACCTCTCTATTTTGGATGAAGCATCAAAGGACCAGAGGGATGGTGTGATTTGCCCAGGGCTGCACGGTAGTTTTGGAGCAAAATGGAGTCAAGAACCCAGTTTTGTTTTTATTGTTTGAAACAATTGAGTTTTCAGCAATAGAATTTTTAACTAAATAATGTTATAGGCTCACGTCAGACTGACTTTAAATTTGACTTAGCTCTAGAGGCATATATATGGGCCTTTGGTATTAATACGATGTCTCCCTTGGATGGATACCTTATTAAGCTCAGTTTACATTGGAGGAAACTGAGGCACAGAGGATAAGTAGCTTGGCCAAGGAGAGTGGTGGTGAGAGGCAGAGCTGGATTCAAACCCAGAGGTTCTAGAATCATCTCAGTAAACAGAGGCTAACCACTTTGCTATACAGCCCCTCTTAATGATTTTGGAAATACTTTAAAATTTACTTTTTTATTTATTTTTGAGACAGAGTTGCACTCTGTTGCCCAGGCTGGAGTGCAGTGGCATGGTCTCAGCTCATTATAACCTCTACTTTCCGGGTCCATGCCTCAGCCTCCTGAGTGACTGGGATTACAGACACGCCCATAATCATGCCCGACTGATTTTTGTATTTTTAGTAGAGATGAGGCCTCACCATGTTGGCCAGGCTGGTCTCGAACTCCTGACCTCAAGTGATCCACCTGCCTCAGCCTGTCAAAGTGCTGGGCTTATAGTCATGAGCCACCACATCCAGCCTATTTTTATTTTTTGAGACAGAGTCTTGCTCTGTCACCCAGGCTGGAGTGCAGTGGCACAATCATGGCTCACTGCAGCTTCGACTTCCTGAGCTCCAGCAGTCCTCCCAGCTCAGCCTTCCAAGTAGCTGGGACCACAGACATGTGCTACCACCCCTGGCTAATTTTGGTAGTTTTGGTAGAGATGGGGTTTCACTGTGTTGTCCGGGTTGGTGTCAAACTCCTGAGCTTAAGCAAGTCACTCCCTCAGCCTCCTAAAGTGTTGGGATTACAGGCATGGGCCACTGCGCCGGGAGAGATCTTGGAAAGATATTCACAAAAGTTGATAGATAAAAAGAATATACAGTTTGATTTTGTCCTAAAGAGGAACATATGCTTAGAAAACAAATCAACATATGGATGCCAAAATGTTGATGGTGATGACCTCTGAATGGTGGGATGATGGGTGATACTTATTTTTTTGTGTTTTCTTGCATTATCAAATTGTATATAGTGAGAGAGTATTATTTCTATCACTAGATAACTTCATAAGAAGTCTCTGCTCACAGCAGTGAAGTGGGTAAAGTAGTGTTTGGAGGACAATACTCTAGCTGCAGTGTTAGTTTTCTTTTTTCTTCTCAGAGTCTTACCCTGTCTCTCAGGCTGGAGTGCAGTGGCGCAATCTCAGCTCACTGCAACCTCCACCTCCCAAGTTCAAGTGATTCTCTTGCCTCAGCCTCCCGAGTAGTTGGGACCACAGGCACATGCCAACACACCTGGCTAATTTTTGTATTTTTAGTAGAGATGGGATTTCACCATGTTGGCCACGCTGGTCTCAAACTCCTAAGCTCAAGTGATCTGCCCACCTCGGCCTCCCAAAGTGCTGGGATTACAGGCGTGAGCCACCATTGCCAGGCCAGTTTTATTTCTGATTGAAGCCCAGAGCTGAGCATTGGAAGAGGGAGAGGTGGCAGGCAGATTCAGCACTTACAGCTCAAATGAGACATAGAACTGCGAAATTGGGAAGAAACTTGGGAGTCACCTCAGGTGGGAGAGGGCCGCTGTCTCTTTACAGACTCCTGCACCAGCACTCTTTCCTCTGTGCTTTGGAGTTTCAGGTTAACAGTGGACATTCAGGGGGAAATAACAAAGAGGGGCGAATGAATAGGCAGGCTGCAGCAGGGGTTGTTTCAGAGGATCTTGACATCTCGACAGGAAGCCCACCTCCTTCTGGCCCCAGCCTCATGGAGAAGGGCCCGCAGCAAAAAGAAGCTCTGTGGATGTGGGTTGGGGATGGGGGCAGGCAGCGGGAAGGGAGGTGGATGGATATGGGAGCAGAAAGCAGGGTCCCATCTGACCAGGGTTAGGGAGGAGGGCGACAGGCCATCTCTGTTTTCTCCAGCTCTGACCAACTCCTTCTGCTCTGAAAAATCTGAGGTTCCATCCCGTGACATTCTCAAAGTGATTTCTTTGTTCTTCTTTCACCAGAGACCACCTGGGAACGTCCCAGCGGTACTCCTGGGATTCCGGCCAGCCCTGGCTCTCACAGGAGCTCTCTGCCTCCAACAGGTACTGTCTGCTGGCTGCTTTGGGGCTACTGGTGGGGGGACCAACACCGCCTTCAGTGGAGAGGCTGAGATGATGGATCCTGGGTCTTAAACCTGGCTGACGTAGCAAACCCAGGGAGGGGTCGAGACTGGGTGGGGGGCCCTTAGGCCTGTGGCCCAGCAGGCTGGTGTCTCCCTGGCGGTGCCAGCAGCAGCTCTGGTGGTCTCCTGCTCTCTCTCCCTCAGGCGCTTAGCAGGAAGAGATGGCTGGGGAGGGTGAGATGTCAGCGTGCTTTCTGTCGGGGACAGGAAGACCTGAAGCGTGGACAGAACTGTTCTCTTTGGCTGTTGTGGACATCATGGAGTAGAAGCTAAAAGGAGGCAGATATTTACAAGGCAGCTTTCCAACAGAACATCTGGGTCAGTGTGAGGGAGGCCTTGTGAGGGTATGAGTTCTCTGTCTGCAAAGGTAATCAAGCAGAGGCAGGCAAGATGGACATTCTTTTTTATTTTTTATTTTTATTTTTTGAGACGGAATCTCATTCTGTCACCCAGGCTGGAGTGTTGTGGTGCAATCTCAGCTCACTGCAACCTCTGTGTCCTGGGTTCACGTGATTCTCGCGCCTCAGGCTCCCGAGTAGCTGGGACTACAGGTGCGTATCACCATACCCAGCTAATTTGTGTATTTGTAGTAGAGATGGGATTTCACCATGTTGGCCAGGCTGGTCTTGAGTTCCTGGCCTCAAATGATCTACCCACCTTGGCCTCCCAAAGTGCTGGGATTAAACGTGTGAGCCACTGCCCCTGGCCAAAATTGACATTCCTGTAATAGGTGGGAGGTTGTCTATGGGGCTCTTGGGAGACATGTAGGTCCGAGATTCTGGAAGGCAGGTTATGGGACACATCAGCAGGGAGAACAACATCTGCCTTCATGCGGCTTTTAAAAAACATCACCTCCTCCAAGAAGCCTTCCCTGACCACTCCATTTAGAGCCTTCACCCAGTCACTTTAGATCGAAGCCGCATGCTGTTTTAGTGTCCCCAGCGTCCTGTTCCTAGTTGCTCTTCACTCTCCCATGCTAGACTGTAAGCTCCCTGAGGGTGAGGGCTTTGTCTGTTTCATTTGTGGAATCTTCAGTCCCCAGAGCCTGGCTTCTGTGTTGAGCTAATTCGCCAGTGTCTCCACCATCCTGTGGTGTGTGAAGCACACTTTTTGGTTTTTGACTTGAGTCAATCTGGCAGCAAAGCGTGAAAATCAAGGTTGTGGCTGGAGCTGGGAATTTAATCTTTAATGCCTTGAGCAGTGACATCTTCAGCTTCTGTGGAATGGGGGGGTGAAAGGCTGTGTCAAGTTCTTGGAACAAAAAGTAATCCCTGGTCTAAATGGTTTACCTGAAGCAGCACAGGGAATCACAGGAAGGACTAAAGGTAATCACAAAACTGGAATACGGGATCGGAGAAGGGAGGCAGGGAGCAGTGGGAGTGGCCAGAGCCTTAGCTTTCAGAGCAGGGATCTTTGGATATTGTCTACCCTGGAGACCTGAAGACATGAAGGTGCACATTCAAAGCATATTGCTTAGGCATATGACAGTTGCCAGCAGAAGAGCTCAAAACTGGAAATGATGGGAAAACCTTACCTCTAGAAAATCGGCTGAGGTGTGGCAGTGGTGATATGAAGATGGGTGTTTCCTATCAAAAATATTTTAGGGCTTTCTAAAGCATTTTATTTATATTTATATTATTACTTAAATTATATTTACTTAAATTTAAAAAAAATTAAGACAGGAACCCCCCTTGTGGGGGAGGGACATGGGGCAGCTCTGACTGACTTCCTAGGGAGACAGTGAGTGCTGCCTTCTCAGACCAAGTCCCCAGAAATGGGCCTGTTCAGCCCCTTCATGCTGTAGCTTCTGTGTGACAGCGGGCAGTTCTGAGCCCACCGCTTTCTCTTTCACTGTTGTTCTTGTGTTTTTTTAACAATCCAAATGCTAGTGGGAATGACGCAAGGTGCGTCCTCTTTCCTGGCTGGCTCCAGGCCAGCCAGACACTAAAAAGGAAACCCAACTGTTTTTTCCAGCCAGAGTGGTCTGTGAAGGAGGACAGGACCGGGATGCTGGCAGAGGGAGGCTTGGACGTGTAGCGACGGCAGGTGTGACTCACAGCTTGCCATGTGGGTGGGGCTGGTCGAGACTTGGCCTTTGAGTCATGGGGTCACTTCTCTAAAGCTTGCTCTCCTGGAACCATCCACAGGCAGCATCTCTTGTCCTCTCTGCTGTTGACGGGACTGTCCTGCAGAAGCGGGGCTCGCAGGAGCTGCCTCCGTTCCCTGATTTAGAGGCCTGGAGTTTAACAGGCTCCCTTCTTTTCTTTACAAGCATATCCTTAGCCTCTCTCTGTCCAGCGATGCCCTGTGTGGGCCCGTAAAGGGAGCTGAGAAAAATAGGGAGATGAGTGGAGATGGTCAGATCTAGAAACCAGAATTGCCAGCATGGTCAAGGCTAGACTGAGTGTGTTGACAACTGCTGTCCCCCTCTGCCGTCCCACCCGAGGGTGCCGGAGTAGTATTTCCTAAGGTGGAATCTTTGGAATCCCAGATCTATCGGTGCTCCATGAAGGAGGTTGAAGAAGGACAGGCGCATTAGCGTTCTGAAGACGGCAGGAAGGCCTGAAATGAAGAGACCTATTTAACTCAGTGCTTTTGTGCTTTATTTCCAACATACCACATACGTGTTAAGCTTTCCTCCCTCTATTGGGAGATTTTGCCTAACGGGACATTCGACCATGTCTGGAGATATTTTTGACCGCCAGCACTGGGGGGAGGCGCTACAGGCATGGATAGGAGCCAGGGATGCTGGGGAACATCCCACAATGCACAGGAAAGTCTTCACAACAAAGAATCACCTGGCCCTAAATACTGACTAGCACCGAGGTGGAGAAGCTCTGCTCTAGATTGATTCAGAGCGTCAGTTCAGCACTGCCCAAGGGTTCCTGCACCATGGCCCATTGAAGCAAGCAGCAGCAGCTCCCTATGTCAGCATGAAGAGTCCTGTGTCATTGATTGTAAGACATATATTTTCCCCCGACATACTCATATCTTGGAAGTCAGGGGCATCTTACAATCAATAGTATATGCTAGTTTGTTTGTTTGTTTGTTTGTTTGTTTTAGAGACAGGTCTTGCTCTGTAGCCCGGGCTGGAATACAATGTCATGATCATAGCTCACTGCAGCCTCCTCCTCCAGGGCTCAAGCAGTTCTCCTGCCCCAGCCTCCCAAGGAACTGGGACTACAGGCATGTGCCACCATACCCAGCTAGCTTTCTTATTTATTTTATTTTATTTTTGTAGAGACAGTGTTTTTGTCATATTGTTCAGATGGATTTTGAACTCCTGGGCTCAAGTGATCCTCCCAAAATTACACAGATTACAGACACGAGCCTCTGCTGGCCTCAATCACTGGCATTCTAGATTTGTGAAATTATAATTTGTTAAACTGGGGCCTTCAGCACATTTCTTCTTGCCAGGCCTCACTGTCCCCATTCGTAAACGTGAGGGCCTGGAGGGAGATCATCCGAGGCCCTGCCCATCCAGCTATGCTTTTGGATTCTTTTGTTTGTTTGAGGTGGAGTCTTGCTCTGTCACCCAGGCTGGAGTGCAGTGGTGTGATCATAGCTCACTGCAGCCTCCTCCCCCTGGACTCAAGTGACCCTCCCACCTCAGCCTCCCGATCAGCTGGGACTATAGGCACGTGCCACCTCACCAAGCTAATTTTTAAAGGATTTTTTGTAGAGATGAGGTCTGACTATATTGCCCAGGCTGGTTTCAAACTCCCAGACTCAAGTGATCCTCCAGCCTCAGCCTCCTAAAGTGCTGGGGTTATAGGCATGAGCCACGATGCCCAACCAAGTTTACTTTTGTGTTGTAGCTTTGTGAACTTCTAGAGAGGGTTTGAAGGGCCACCCGCAGACAGAGCTGGTTCATTCTTATTAGTGCAGGTTTGCAGGATGCTGGTAAGTACAGACAGCCAGGTTGCCAGCTGGGGAGAGCATTCTAGAAACATGCCCAGAGTCCTCCCCCCCCCACCCACCCCTACAAACTAGACTCCACTCTTTGAATGTTGGGTGTTACTTAGGATCAGCCCTGGGCTGGGGACTTTTCCTGCATTACTTCCTTTAATATCACCAGGGTTATGGGAGCTGTGTTTATTCAGTAGCTTTACTAGAGGTGTTTAATGCCAAGCTTTCTGGGTGAGACCCACGCGAGTAAGAAGTAAAGCTTAAACCAAAACAGAACACCTAAGACGCCATTCAGCAACTGCTGCAAATACTAAAAATCCTCTTTGGGCTGGGCTTAACGGGCAGGGTGGAAATACTGATTTACAGAGAGAAATAGTAACAGACAAACGGACAGAAAATGAGTGAAAAGTGAGATGCTTAGAGTTTCGTGTATGAGTCGCTGGGTAGAATGAAGACAGAGGGGTAGTGTTGTCCAATGGAACTCTCCGTGACAGGACAAGCATTCTTTCTCTGCGCCTTCCAATATGGTAGCCACTAGCCACGTGCGGCTATTGAATTCTTGGATGTGGATGGTATGCCCAAGGAGCTGAATTTTTCATTTAATGTAACTTAGTAACTTTTTAAAATTTGGGGAACAATTTTTAATTTACAGAAAAGCTATAAAGACAGTACGGTAAGCTCGTGTGCGTCCTTTACTCAGTGTCCCCAGTTGACATCTTACACAGCCACAGTACGTTTGTCAAAACTGTGAAATTGACATCATGCATTACAAGTAACTAAGTGTGAGGCTTTATTCAGCTTTCCTGAGTTTTTCCATTCATGTCCTTTTTCGGTTCTAGGATCCAGTCCTGGAAATCACATTGCATTTAGATTTTATTTAAATTTGATTTGTTTGAATTCAAATAGGTACCTGTGGTTTTTAACGTCAGCAGTGCACATGTGGAAAGCCAATTCCTTTCTTAGCCTCTGGGCCTGGGGTGTGCATTGAACTTATGTGTTTTTCTTAAGGCT